TTGTTTTTAAAAACATCCAGGTTCTAGTGTTACATTTAATTCATTTCCTCTATATTACATTCTCAGTTTGTCACTGGGGCCATATGCAAGGCACTCAGCATGGTGCCACTGGCGCTGCTCAGAATGGCAAAACATATTCTAAGCTACCAAAAATAAAAACAAAGTTCATGGGCTGGCCCCCTCCCTGGTTAAAGCACAGCACTAAGAAGCTAAAGCCACTTCAGCATGAGTTTGATCCCCGCCCTGGAGGTGGTCCACATGGAGTGGCAGACCTCTCCAGACTTGTCGCTGCTCCCCTCAGAAGAGTACTTCTTCCATCTGCCTGTTCTGCTCCCAGCTCTGTCTCTGGTTAATCCTCTGGCTGCCCCTGCACCTCTGGCCTGTACCCCAGTTCTCAATGCATAAATAAATAAATCTTTAAAAAAAAAAAAAAAGGCCATTGGCTGGCTAGAAAACAACTTTCTTCCTGATCTTAGTGCTGTTAAATGGGTTCCAAATATGTGAGTACCCAAAATTCATTTTTTAGAGACCACATACAAATTTTGCTCCCTGATTAAGTAAGTATAAAGAGCTCATTTATAGGTGATTTTCCTCCCACAGATATTTATGTCATTTATGCAACAGCACCATAAGATAAATCAGAACCAGAAGACATTATGCTTTAGAAAATGGTCTAAAACAGTATCTTTCAGCCTCAGTAAAATAATCTATGGGTTTGATGTGAGAAAAACAGAAAAGGAAAATCAGGTTATTAAGAGCATCTGTGTAATAGGAAGCATGTTTCTGATGCTTCCTATTTGTAGGAATGCCTTTACTCTGATTTGTTTTATTTTATCTAAGGAAAGGAATATTAAATTGTCAGGAGAGCCCAGGAACTTCTCACAAATCTATACACTAATAAAAAATTTTAAAATCTGCTATTTAGAGCGCCTCTAAGCAATTAAGTGAAAGGATGTCAGAACACTTTATTTACATTACCTTGTGACATATACTATCACAGCTTAATAGCTTCCTGTCTGTCGACTAGTTTTCAGATGTCCTAAGGAAGCAACAGATTAAATCAGTTTGATCCCAATGTATTTACTACCCCCAATTATAAATAATAAACTTAATTCACTTAAAATTTACAACAATGATTTGCATATGTGCCTTCAGGGGGTGATCATTCTACAAGCATAAAGTTAATTGTTATTTGGTCCTGCTTACTTAACTTTTCATTAAAATTTCCTTAAGGTGATCAAGATAACAACTTTTGCAACCTTTATACAAAAGGAGGCAATGTATAGGATACATGCACACCATGAGAACTGTATAAAATTACTTTTCTATTTCACTGTTAAAGTATTGAAGTAATGGCTGCTGTTGTTTATTATTTCTACAGTGTATTAATAATCACAGCTCAGGCACTTTAACTCATGATATATATACTTCTTGGCATAAACCATGAAAGTAGGTACTGTGTGTAGTGTGTGTGTGTTCCTTTAAAAAAAAATCCACGTGACCATGTGCAGTTCAACAGAATTCTGGGTGTCAGAAAATGTTAACATATTCAGAAAATACTGAGTGTTTGGGGGTACACTTTGGAGTTAGTATAATATATATTACCAGATGGTTTTCGTTGGACTCTAATGAAGTTTTAAATTTCTGCAAGCTTCTTGAGGTTTGGAAGATTGTATTCACGTTTGCACATCTTCCGTCTTCCGTTGAATCCCGTGGGCCCACCCAGCACATAATACTTCCTCAATAATCAATTGGCTATCTATTACTAGTGTTTTCTTGCAAAAGGTGTCATTTCTTAAGAACTTAAAAGCTGCAAAGGATCTTTCTCCAAAATGTTAGCCTTTGCAGGGATCTGATGTAGGTGAGCGGGGCGGTAGTGCTGTTCCTCTGATTCGGCAGAGGACGAAGACATATCACTAACTCAAGTTTGTTCCACTTGGGGGCTCCCCATACACCTGCCCGGCTCTCCAAGTCCACGAGAGGACCAGTTGGAAGGATCACAGGCGCTTACGCGGAGTGCAACACTAAAGTTCAAAGCAGGGTGTATGTCAGCAAACAAAGGGCGGTGCAGTCATGGGCTCTGGAAGAGCAAGAGCGCCGCGGTAACAAATGGACATTCCGCAAGTGAACAGACAGACACCCGATCGCCGCCTCCGGGCAGCCCCACCCTCGGGCTCCAGCTGTCGCGACTACAGCCGCCGCGGGCTTCTGCGGTCGCTTCTCCACGCGTTCGGGGAACGTCGCTAGCACCACCTTCCCGAGAACTTTCCCGTCCCTCTCTCGGTTGGGAGCCCAAGCGGGGAGGGACCAGCAGGTGGGGTCTCTGGGGAATTCCTTCGCCGGACTTGGGGGTGGGTGGCTCTTCCCAAGAGGAAGGTGGTCCTTTCCCAAGTACAACCCGACCTTCGCGCGCCCGGGAGAAGCACCAAGTATACAAGGCCACGCGGCAGCGCGGAGCTCAGCCGAGCCGGAGGAACAAAGAGAGCAAGTGGGTCGGGAGGATGCTGCGCTCCCCCGTGCCCCGCCTGGCTAGCTCTCAGGCTCAGTCTCGCGCGCAGGTAGCCCGGCCTTCGGCGATGAAGAAGGGTGTGTTCGAGCGGGGTACACAAAGACTCACTTCCCTGGGGTCAGGCGCTTGGACTCCCCTCCCTGCCACTCACTGCCCGATCACATTCTGGCATCCCTGCCACCCCCGGAGCCCTGAATGCCCGCTGGGCGCCAGGCAGGGAGCCAGCCTGAGCTGTGCAGGTAACACTCCGAAGAATTCGGGCTGGCTGGTGGCGGCGGCCGGGAGAGGCGGCGGCTAAGCCGCCCGCGCCGCCCCACGCAGTCTAAGTCTGCAATCACTCCGGGCCAGAAGCAGGGCTCAGCGCGCTCCTCGAGCGCCCGCCCGCGCTGCCAGCGGGCTGGGCAGCCGGCCCCGGGGCGCAGGAAGCGGGCAGGGCAACTTCCCAGCTCCTAGCGTGGGTCCGCTAGGTGAGCCCAGGCCGGAAGGGGGTGGGGAATGGAGGTAGAGGCGGAGGGAGCGCGGTTTTGAGCGGAAAGAGGGGGCGCACGGAGGGGGCGCACG